GAACGCAATTACACATCAGAAGGGCACGTTCATCAAAGACTTTTTTCTCCAAAAAACAGTAACTTTGTAAATGCTCGGGTTTTTTTTTTTTTTTTATATTTTACTCTGAAGTTTCTCTTGAATGAGACGCAAAACCTGAATTATACCTAATAGTTGAGTGCTCCTCATTTAAAACTAGCAATGAATGGAGTGGGGATGAAGCTGCAGAGAGAAGCATAGGGCCAGTCATTCCCCTGTCTAATGAGTCGGGTATTTCAGAAGGAAAAGGAACAGCATCTTGGTCTGCTACTTCTCCACCCAGGCCCTTCCCTGGATCACCTGTGGGTCCTGTCTGCAGTGACACTGTGCAAGCAGTTCATCATTTCCTGTTACTCATTTTCCAGCCCTCTATTTGACTTTGCTATGACCTGATCTATTTTTAGTCTTTCTTGTGTTTGTGTTAATTTTCCAAATGCTTGTAAGTAGCCATTAGTTCTCTCTTTACTCTTTGGAGGACAAAATTGGCAGGATCCTTTTGTAGCTGTGTCTCTGAGGATACTTCAAACCTTATCAAAATTCCATTTTTTTTTCCTTATGGGAAATGCTGTCTGGTTTAAAGGCATGTATGTGGCTCTATTTTTCCAGTTAATACAAGTGGGAGGTTCATATTCCTTTCTATGTTCTAACATTGTACATTTTTATGAAACGTAAAATAAAAATAAAGTGCAAATGAAATGCATGTGGTGTTCCTGTGTAACTGGAGGAACATAAATGAAGGACATTGTATTCCCAGATAGGCCTTTTTTTATCGAAGGTATTCCTCCAGCAGAACAAATAGACGCTAAGGCAAGGGAAATTAGAAGTTGATTGTTTTAAAGCAAAGGATGCTTTTGGAAGTATTGATCCTTCACTCTTCACATGCGTGCACACTTTAACTTTTGGAAAACAGTTATATGCCATCCCCTCTGATGCCATGCCTCTCTCTAGGGCAGATTTGGCTCCGGGCTGACCATTCCCCTTTGCTCACCCATGCCACATAAAGGGGTAATCTCATCCCAGAGTCATCTGATATTCCGGTGGCCCATCTGGTCACCAGGCACCTAGCTCCTGGGGACATGGAATTAGGCCATCTCAAGGGAATGCCTAGGGCGAAAGACTCCAACCCTTTTCTTCATGAGTTTGGGGCTTAATGCATCACGAGTGGAGGTTTTCAAGCCATATCTGATTTTTTAAGAGATTAAAGCCAGCCAAATTTTAGCATCTTCATGAGTGAGATGGAGGACAAAGTCAGCTATGATCCAGGAGGCGGTGGCGTCTGAAACACTGGAATAAGGAGAAGCTGCTCCGTGGAATGAACATATTGTCTGCAGCCTCGGTTCAGAAGCCTTCTCATCGCCCAGGGCCCCGGGTCCAGGGTTTGCCCTGGCCCTGCTGCACCTCCCTCACCTGGGCCCTGGCACTGGGAAGGAGCTCTTACCCTGGTTCCACATCTTATCCCCCTGCAAACTTGACGTTCTTGCAGTCAAGTGTGCGCACCGTCTAGTGGGGTATTTCAGACAGTTTTCTTATTACCAAATGGAGAGGTATTAACAACACAATGTAGAAATAAAAAAAAAAAAAAAAAGGCAGAGGGTGGGGAGTGGGGGAAGAAAAGAAAAGACAGCCGCCTGCTCTTTTCTTCTTGGTATTATTATTTGTGACAAAGCCCTAGGTCCATTTTTCTTCATAATTTGCAGGACTCCTAATGGGAACAGCACCTCCCAATTACCATGGCTGCCAAAGGCTAATTTGGTTACCCTCCGGATCCACAATAGCGAAACTGTGTCGAGCCTTTGTCGATATTTGCATACTATACATACCAGGAATGTAAAACAGCTGCCTGGCCCCTCTCCCACTATCATGGCAATTATGGGTCATTAGCTTTTTCTACCCCGCTCCCCTTCTCCCTTTTTCTTGTTCTTGTCTTCCAGAGTCTGGTAGGCAGTGGTAGGCAGCTGACGGGTTTGCAGAGACAAGAAATGAGAAAGCCGAGCTGCGTGGCCTATTTGTTAAGAGTCGAAGGCTGACGAACTGCCACTTGAATTGCGCGAATACAGCCCTGCGCTTTTATTTCTTGATTACCTCCGCCTTTTCTTTTCTTCTACCCTCTCCTCACAGCTAACTCTTTTCTTTCGGGAAGTCTCTCAGAGGGTCAGTGCCACTGGGCCCTGCACGTGTCTATGTGTACGCATTTGTCCTGGTTCCCTGGCAAACTCGGCCCTTTGGCCAAGGCGTGTGCCAGCATTTGGAGCTGGGGGATTAGGCCTCAGACGTGGAGGGTGAGCTCTAGCACCTAACTGGATCCTCATTAGGGGGAGGGAATGCTTTACTTTTAAGTTTTCTCACTGAATTGTAGCCCTCTCCCCAGGGGGTGGGGTGATGAGGGGAAGAAGGTAAGAAAAAGGGGCTTAACCAAGATGTGCTCTCCCGTTTGGAAAAATGTGTTGTGTCTTGCGGTAGTTAATGGGAAGTTATGGTTCTGAATATAATTTCTCCCCTTCCAGCTGCTAATTTTATTGACAGTATGGATAGATTGAAAAACCCAAAAGCTTTGTGTTGTTTTGTTAAAGCAAATAAGTGAGGCACAAATGTAAATTACATCTCCAGGTTCACATTAGAGGTTTGCAAATAATACTGAGCTAATGGTTATCGCAAAGGAAAATAGCACTGGGATCAATATTCTATACAGTGGAAGGCGATACCTCTCTGTCTTTTAATCACCTCATTGCAGAAATGGCACTGAAATTTGAAATCTCATTTTCTCCATTTGTACAAATTGAACATAAATCACTATGAGTGAGGGGAGGTGGCAGGCAGCTTCACTCTTTGTGGGATTGCATTACTAATTAGTGTTGGGCTAAGGCTGTGCGCAGCCCAGGAGAGGCTTCCCTAGACCTTTGGCCAAATGCAGGATGCTCCCGGAAGCCTGGGCAGGTGGGGAGGGGCTCAGACCCTCTATCGAGGAGTAAGTGAGTCCAGGTCAGCTCGCCAAAGGAACACAAAGGATAGAAGGCATCTCAGACCCTCACACGCTTATGTAATTTTCTGAGACAGGATGGCAGCTCCCGGCCAATCCCTTCTTGGATTTCAGTGCAGTCAGGATGTATAGGACATGACTGTTTCCAAAAAGAGGCAATCGAGAGGTCAGCTTCCACACTTTCCCTTTTGTCTCTAGCTGTAGGAGTAGGGGAGTCCCTTGGTAGTACAAATGGTTAGCACCTAGAGGTGCCTCAGAAGAAAGACTAACAATCTGCTTCTGGAAAATCAGCCATTGAAAACCGTATGGAGTACAGTTGTACTCGGACACACATGGGGTCACCATGAGTTGGAATTAGCACCACAGCAAAAACAGGGCCTGCTCAGCACCAGCACTTTAGTGTAATCTTTGCAAGCTGACCACCTGCCTACCAACTCCAACTCCCCTTTCCTTCCTTCTGTCCTTTCCTGTCCTTCATTCCTTAACTTGGATATACTTTGGCTGAGTGTCTCTCACAGCTCTGAGCTGGGTGATAGATATTATTTACAAAGGATATTCACAGATGTCAAAGGGCCTCTGACACTGTACCCACTTCAGCTACATTTTCTCAAGTTGTTCAAATGTTATTTACAACATACTCAGTTTTTAGGCCATGAGGTCATGATGGGAAAAGGGCTCAAGACCTCCCTTTCCCTCCCCAGGTTGAACTATCCCATGTTCATGCATTTCTGGGCTGGGCAGATGTGGGGGGAATGTGCTTCATTTCAAAGGTGATAAGAGATGGGTGACAAAGATGGCATCTGAAATTTAGTAGGAGGAGAGAAGAGGGCAGAGGTGTCAACTCAGCTGGTGAAGAGACTGGATTTACAACTTTGTTGTTAAAGATTTGGGAAGACATAGCATAGAGAAGAGTTGTGCAGAGTCCTTTACTTGTCTTTACATTGGCCAGTTGCCCTCTCACTTGGAGTAAATAATGTTCTGCTGGATGGTTAATGGAGGATGTTTAGTTCATTAAACTTGATACCCTGTGGGCAGGATGGACTGGTAAAGTATTTATATATTTATATGTAAGGCTGCTCCTCTAAGGCCCAGTGTGTGCACGTTAGCCAAAAATGGGACAAGCTAGTGTCCATCAAGGTGGAGTCTCAGCAATGGCTGTTGACACCAGCATCACCTGATGGTAGACCATAGTGGAACCAATGGACACCCTTAGGACAGAGAGAGATAGTTTTTCATTTCCAGCCAAAGTGAACATTTAGAAGGCCACAGTGGGTCCTTTGATGGCTAAGCGGTTCATCTGGGCGCTCTTGAGATAGCCACGGCAGTCAGACGTTCACGGTGCACTCCTGCCCACCTCTGCCTGCCACTCCTTCCCCCTGCCTGGGGAGAGAGGCAGAGTGACTCTCATAGACTTATCAACACCCCAGGAGTTTTCATTCCTCTTCCACATCCTCAGCCGTGGCAGTAGGAATTAAAAAAAAGGGAGGTTAGGGGGGAAACTGGAAACAAAGTTCATTATACCTAAGGTTTCTCTTGTCCATTTCAATAGATGAAAGCAAAGAAAATAAAGCACAATCCATCCAAACAGTGAGAAGAAATAAAAACCTTTTAGAAATCAGAGCAGACTACAAAAAACACTGACAAAGTGGAATGAAAGTTCTGAACAATCAGTTCAAAGGAAAGGGTGTTTGAAATAAACCCTTAAAAACATTTCAAATGCTGAATGAAAAAAAAAAGGAGCTGCTGCTTTAGGTATTTGAAGCTAGGGTGACTTAATCTGGAGAGAGAACTTTTTGGATTCTACTTAAAAAGAGCTAATGAGTCCTTGCAGGCAGTAAGGCTTAGAGGACCAAACACTGGATCAGGTGCACATGGACTGGCCTGATTGCCAGTCCCAGGTCTGTCGCCACCTCTTGGGTTGACCTGGGGCTTTTAACCTCCTTGTGCCTCCATTTGCCCCGCTGTAAACTGGGATTACTAATAGGCATGTCCTCTCACCCTCCAGGTCCCAGGGGAGGTTTAATAGGATAATGGAACTGATCCTATTGATGGAGAATGAGTGACCGCCATTTTGTGACCCCTACCTTTAGACCCCAACTAGGTATCCTCCCAGAGGCCTTTGGAGGAGCCTTCCTTTTTGGTGAGTTTCAAATTTTACTCAATCATTCCTTCATTCATTCTAAATTATGTATACCTACTATGTACCAGGTATTATTGTCCATAAGGACAAAATGGGAAAAACACAGTCCACTCCCTCAGATTGATCATAGTTAAGTAAAGGAGACAGATAAGTTAACAGTGGATTAGAAAACAGTATGATGGGAACAAGCATGGGATACCTTAGGAACACAGCTGTAGGGAGGCTTCCGTGGGAGATAGTGACTAAGCTAATTTCTGACAGAAGGGCAGAAACTGGCTGGGTGGGTGTCAAGGCTGGGAAAGGTGTCTCAGGCCAACAGAGCAACAAGTGCGAAGTTTTAAGACTGTAGGGATGTTGGGTAAGAGGAGCAGAGTGGAGAAAGAGAAGCCTGTAGTGGGAAGCAGGAACTTTTTCTAAGGGCAGTTATGTGAGGGATTTTATTCAGCAGCTGGATCTGGAGGTATTAGGCAACTCAGTCATCAGCAACCAAAACCCGTTGCTATCGTGTCAATTCCAACTCATAGCGACCCTCTAGGACAGAATAGAACTGTTCCGTAAGATTTCTGAGGAGCATCTGGTGGATTTGAACTACCGACCTCTCGGTTAGCAGCTGAGAGCTTAACTATTACGCCACCAGGACTCCTTCAGCCACCCGCGTTCCTTTTATTTTTGTGAACCGCCCTTTTTAGCAGGTGATTTCCATCTTCAAGCTTGCCTCCTTACTGAAGAAGGAGGGTGGAATGGATATGACATAGGCAACAAGCAGGCTCCAGCACAGCCCTTTACAACGTATGAAAGAGCTTAGATTTTATCTCAGGTGTGGCCTGTGATCATTATCATGGTGAGTTTGCTTTCATCTTGCATCTACACCCTGTCAGATATTTGCACCTCAGGTATTTTATAAAAGGGCTAGAAGTCCTAAAGGACTAGCATACAAAAAAACATTAAAGTAGAAGAGAAAAAAATGGGAAATTCAGAAACTTGATTGAGTGACAATAATAAAGAGTTATAATACGCAGGGTGACAACACATCCCAGCTTTCCCAGGGGAGCCCTAGATTATGTCTGTTGTCTTGGCATCTCTTCCGGTTCAGCATTTGCCCCAGATTTTACTTTTATTATTGTTTCTAACAAATTGTCATTATTAACTGTTACATTAAAATAAGCCAAGATGGATAGGACAGACCTCCATTTTGTACCACCAGCTCCTGCCAGGGTCTCATCTAGTTGTGTGTGAGATGCAAGTTCTGTAAACAGAGTTCTCATTTTAACTTGTAGTTAAGTCTGAAAGACTACCAGGGATGACCCGTCTCTCTTCTCACATTCCTTCCCAGATGACAGGTAACTAACTCTCCCTTTTCAAGGGCAACGTATATGGTGTTTGCTAGTGAACCAGTGTGAGCTGGGCCATGAGCATGTATGGGTAGTAACTCCCTCTGGAGGAGAAGTGAGAGAAGTGGCTGAGGCTGCTGCCCCACCAGTTCTTACATAGTGGCTGGTGCTGGGGTCTGCAGGCTGCAGGTGGCCGGCTATGATGCCACCTGGCAGGGTCAGTGGGAAATGTGGAAAACTACAGAGTAGATGTAAGGAGCCCTGGTGGCGCAGTGGTTAACTGCTAGGCTGCTAACTGAAAGGTCAGTGGTTTGGACCCACCAGTTGCTCTGTGGGTGAAAAGACCTGGCGATCTACTCCCATAAAGATTACAGCCTATGGGGCAGTTCTACTCTGTCATATGTGGTCACTGTGAGTCGGAATCTACTCGATGGCACGCACCAAAAACATAGGGCAGGTGTGGGGGAAAATACTGACTGGTGCCATAGCACAGGGCAAAAATTGTCTGCGTTTTCGATAGCAATTTTGTCATTTAATAGATGATGTAAATTTACAACTGTTTTATTGTTTGGTAACAAATTTTTATTTTTAAATAAACCCTTTATGGCAGCAGTGAGCTCAAAAAAACAAAAGTTCATGTTTAATGAAAAAAATAATTCCTGAATTTCCATTTCTTAAGAAAGTTGATGATGACAAATGTGTGACTTGCACGGAGTGTTTATCAACACTTACCGTCTACTATGGCAAATGACCCCATGAAAACCAGAAGACAAAATCTGCTGACAAAGCATCAGCCTCTAATTTTAAAAATCAGTTATTTTAAGAAGACTCTGCTATAAATGACGATTTCACATATGAATCTACAGAAAGTGTATTTACAGATCCTTTTCCAAAGCATTATTTTTCATTTATATTAAATGATTGTGTTATCTAAATTTCACTCGTTTTTTACCTCAAGCTTTCTTGTGTATGTGTAAAACATGAAGTGATCATCGTTAATGTGTTGGTTCCATAGACCGAAGGAAAACTTTACTAACGGCTCAAGGATATCACTTTTATCAGTGCTACCAAAGCTTTCAAGATGAAAATCAGTTCATTCTAATCATTGGTTCAAAACCTCCCCTCCACTTCAGCAAATTAAAGTAAAGTTTCTGGAAGTTGATTCTAATGAAGGTGAAGCATCTGACCTTATTTGGAATACTAGTGTAAAATTCATTTTAAAAGTTCAGCATTGAAGATGAAACTATTTGTTTTGGTGATGATAGTACACATTCAGATTTTGGTGAAGCACAGCTCTTATGGTAAAAACATAAGAAACCTACGGGCCCCCAGACACCCTTTTAACTTAGTACTGTAGTCACTCCTGAGGTTTACCCTTCAGCCAAAGATTAGACAGGCTCGTAAAACAAAATGAGACTAAATGGGCACACCGACCCAAGGACAAGGACTAGAAAGCAGGAGGGGACAGGAAAGCTGGTAATGGGGAACCCAAGGTCAAAAAGGGGAGAGTGTTGACATGTCATGGGGTTGGCAACCAATGTCACAAAACAATATTTGTATTAATTGTTTAATGAGAAACTAATCTGCTCTGTAAACCTTCATCTAAAGCACAAAAGAAAGAAAAAAAAAGAGAAACCTATGGGGCAGAAATAGACTTAGAGTTTGTTTTTGTGTTCATACAATCCATTATTTCTTCCCACTAAGCTGCAATGCTAGATCAGTTGAAATAAAAGCTGTAGTGGTTTTAATTTATAAATAGTTTTATACTTTACATTTTTGATACATTTTATTTTGTATATTTTGTACATATGTTTTGTTAGAGTAACTGAACCATGAAATTTTTGTGACAAAAATTTTGAATATAAAAATTACTGTGGCCGTGTGCTCTTTCTATTTGCTGCCAATTATCAGTAGGGTTCTAGAAGATTTTGCACTATGAAGAACCACATTTTCTGCAATGGTATTGAACTTCTTTTGTAAACCAACTTGTAAATTTTGGTTGCATTTTATGCAGCGTCAGTTTGAAATCTTTAATAAAAGTCTTCAACGAATGAAGTGTTCAGAAAACTTCATTTTGAAGTTTTTAACCATTTGCAGTTGTTAAAGACAGTGCTTGCAAACAGGAAGACAATGAAATTTATCCCTCCAGTAGAAAGAAAAAAACAGAACGAATTAAATGTGGAGAGCTCAAAAATTGTACAAGATGTCATTTTCAAAATTATAATTGCTCTTCGGAATATCTTGAGCTGTGGGAAGAATCTTTTCATGGCATTTCCATTTTTAATTGAGTAAAGTTATATTCTGCAAGAATAGAGTGAAACTAAAAAGCTTCTGATTTGGAATAACAAATATAGTTTACTTATTTGAAGAGTTTTGCCCTGCAAAAAGGTCTGTAAAAGATAGATACCTGTGAGGTAAAGAGACAATATTTGATAAAATATTTGGGCTAAGATATTTACACAGTTTAATATGAAAAAAATAGAGAATTGGAGTATAGGCTAGTAGACCTTGTTCTGAACTTACAAGGCACCTCAATAACTTTGGAGAAAGTATTTTCTCAGTGAAAAATATTATTTTAACCTACAGAGATGACTCAGTTGAAGTTGTCAACAGTTTCAAATTTATTAACAATAAAATGCAACTTTTATACTTTTCTACAATACTTCAAAACACTTTAAAAATGCAACTTCAAAGAAGACTATAAGCAATTTCATTAAGCAAAGAGATTAAAAAATTAGTCCATGTTAAAATACGTGTTCTTTAGGAAAATACCATGACATGTTAGAAATAGATGTCGCTAAAAATATCACGTAATACATGAATAAAAACCAAACACAATTATTTTTCTAATGGTATTGTTTAATATTCAGATAATAGTTTTGGAGAAATAAATTATTTTCGTTTGCTTTAAGGAACAAAAGCATATGTTATATTTGATAGAAATAAATCAATTTTTATAAAAAGGTTTTAAATAAAACTATTTTATAAGTCCACCAATATAATACAATCAATTTATCAGTCAGTGTCTTAGGGTTCTCTAGAGAAACAGAACCAGTAAAATGTACACACACACACACATTTTATTCTAAGAAAGACTAGGAAGAAAGACCTGGTGATCTACTTCCAAAAATTAGCCAATAAAAACCTTATGGATTATAACAGAATGTTATCCAACTTCATTGCTTTGGACAAGTCATTGGGAGGGAACAGTTGCTAGAGGAAGACATCACATTTGGCGAGACAGAGGGCCAACAAGAGTGTGGGAGATCCTCAGTGAGATGGATGGGCAGTAGCTGCAAGGATGGACTCGAACATGCTGCTGATTGTGAGGATGACGCAGGACCAGGCAATGTTTCACTCTGTTGTATGTAAGATCTCCATGAGTTGAAGTCGACTGGATGACAGCTAACGACAACAACTGGTGATAGTTACCCACACCCCTTTCTGAAAGAAATAGTTTATCAGCCGGAGGCAGTGCTATCAGTTGTTGATGATTCATCCATTCACTGATTCATCTCTTAGTCATTCATTTGCTCAGGAGGCATGTAATGGACCCAGAAGGACCATCCACCTGGCAGGGGGTATCAGGGAAAGCTTCTCAGGGGGCATAACACCAGCTTCACCAGTTGAATCAAGCCACTTCCTTCTCCTCCAGGAAAAATGCTGTCT